ATCTTTATGTTCTGATGAAAGATCTTTCTCTTCAAAAAATCCTTTAGTAAAAAGTTCACTACGCAAAATACGTGAAGTTTTTCATTTTTTAAGAGTTATATTATTGGAATTTGTAGTTTCACTCATTATTTATCATTACGTACAAATAAAGTTGAAAATTAAAATTGTGTAATGTAAAACAAAAAAATATAAGTCTACAATCATCTTATATAATAATCTGATAACTCATACGATTACCTGGGTCGAATACAGGTATGACCCGAACTCGTCCAAGTTAGATTAAATTTAGAACTCGAGTTGTTAAAGTGCTAACCCGACTTGATATAAAACTCGGGTCAGGTTAATAACCTGGATTTGATTTGACCAGCTCGGAGCACTAGTATTGGTACATCTTATATTTTATTTTCAACAAGAATATTCTTAGTTCATATTTCATCATATTTATCCAATCATATTTATAATTATTTTCATTCTCATTCTCATTCTCATTTTCACTTTTATTTATATTATCATTTTATTTCTATTTTCAATATTATTCTCTCTTATAATTTATTTTGTGTTATTAGATTCTTTCTTTAGATTTTTTTTTATTGTATTTTCATTTCTATTATTATGTGTAATATTTCATTTATTTATTCTTCTTTAGTATTGTTTAGTATTATTTGTAAATATTTATATGATTCAGAATAATTATTAGTCATGTAAATTATAAAAACCATTGATAATATATAAAAGAAGAATCACTTATTACTAGAAACTCTCATGCTCTGATTTAATAAATCTAACAAAGTTCTTACTTGTAATACTTTACTTGTAAATATACTATTATTTTTGTAATAATCTTCAAAGCTTGACTACAAGTAGTAAATGCTTCTTCACTCTAAATAAACCATTGACTTTAGTATTTTTTTTTGTTTATTTTAATTTTATTATTTTTAAACCATATTAATAAGTCTTGTTTATTTTATTTTAATGTATCAATATAATTATTTTGTTTTATTTTCTTTATTAATAGTCTCAATAAGTCCAATTGTTATTTTATTTATTATACAATCTCAATAATTTCTCTTATATTCTCTAATAATTATATTAGCTTTATTTGTGTTGTGTTTGTTATATTCTTTTTATTTGGTTCTTCTTTTACTTCTATTTTTATCTTTAATAGTAAGTTAGTTTGCATACAAGCTATTACAGAAGACCTTTAGAATCTTTAGTAAAATTAATTAATCATAAATCATTCAGTCTTTGTTTTTTTGCTGATTGTTTCTTTGTTAATTTATTAGTTCCAATAACTCTTGAATAGATGAGAACAATACATATTTTTATTATTATTATCATAATGCATGTAATAATATTACTATCAGAGCCCTCGACCAGCAGGGAATGCTTCTGTCTGAAGGCAGGTGTTAGTACAGCTAGCATGGTTGAATTTTGAATACTTGGATTTTCACTTTGCAAAAATTGTGGATTTCACTTGATGATGATTGGCTAAAAATATATTGTTCATTATTCACCCAGATCTAGCGGATCTGGTCGATTGTGAAAAATTTTATTGGTTGTGATGCGTCAAACATAATTCATATTCGCAACGTGAGAACTTTTCTCATTTCAGTTCAGGAAGAGTCTATCACCCAATTTTTGTTTTGCTCTAAAATTGTTTTATTCTCGGAAGACTCGAGAATAGTTCTATTTTCTCATGCCGAGCATTATAAACACCGTTGCTACACGTTACACTTAGCTCTGAAATTTTTGGCTGAAAGGTAAAATAGAAGTCATTGTTGTTGGTTCCGGTGATTTAGCGGGAGGAATGAAGCAGGTGTATTATCTGCGGAGTTTAAAAGTTCATTTGGACTTGAAGGTGTAGACTGGTGATCTTCACGTGTAAACTAGGTGGCAACATTCGCTTCTATAATTGTTTATTTGAATATTCAGGATTGAAATAGCACAAAGCACGTTCTTTCTTAGTCAAAGACATAAATAATTAAGAATCTCATCGTTATGTTGAAGCGTAATTCTTTTAATCGCTTTTGAAAAATTTTCACGTTACTATTGCATGCGAAGGTGTTGAAACATTTGGTGTACTTAAGAGAAGATCGTGCTTTGTGAATCTGAAATTTTCATTAATCATTGCATTATCGGGCAGTTTGATGAAGGTTCCCGAAGATATATGCACATTTATCTTTCAAAGGTAAATAGTTATTATCTCCTTTGGTAATAAAAACTCAAAAAGAAATATTGTTAGATCTTCAATTTGTTGTGCAAATAAATGGTTTTTGGGTTGAATAATGAACTTTGTTATTAGATCCGATATCCCATATTACATATCTCAAAAGTAATTTTCTTGGAATATGCACAGATAACAAGCCTTTTGTTCTTTTCAGATTTGACAAATAACATTATCTTCTGTGTAAACAGTATAATTCTTATCCCTTTATAGACAACTTTTGGTTCATGAGGAAGAAAGGGATTACTTTCCTAGCCAAATATTTGATCGAACTTAGTCAAAGCAAATATTTATCGAAGAAGCAGTACATATATTTTGTCTGTAGAAGAAAACACGCTTGAAGATTTAACAGATTAACCCCTAGTAGTTTTGAATTGCTTATCGTTGAAGGCAATTTAATTGGTCTTTCCAATACAAATCTGTTATTTTGAATAAATAGAGATTTTATGTATTTATTCTTTATTGATTGCTATAAATATTTATTTCACGATTCCGATAAAAGGCACAATCAGTAACTGATATTTGTGGCGTTAATTATGAACGGTATTCAATTGATGATAATATTGATTTATTGGGAAAAGTCGTGGTGATTATTTTGTCTGTATAGAATGAATTTATTAGTTATTCGACAAAGATTTGTTGGCAACAAGTATTGTGGAGTCTAGCGATATTGTGTGTTGCATCTTGTTTCTGCATTCATTTATCATTATACGTTATACTTGAAAAGTTTTCCATTTAATAACTCGCAAAACGTTCAGATTTGACTATTTTATCCTATCCCTATCATTATCGCAAAAAAACAAATAGGTTTTTTTTTGATGAATTTAAGTTCTCTTTTTTTCGTCCTTACAGCTTTATTTTTCATTTGTTAAAAAGTTGGTTTGGCATTCTTTATTGAATTGACGATTTTGACAAAATTTAACAAATATAAATCTGATTTTTTTTTAATTTTTAGCAATCTAAATTATGCCTCCAGTCAAAGCACCTAAAGCTAATACACCTCACATAAAGACAAAAAACCAATTAAAAGGTATATTGGATAATAATAGATGTTTTAAATGAAAAATGTAAAAACAAACTAACGCTAATGAATCTTTACACTATTTAGCGCTTTGCCGAGAATATGAACTGCCAGCGTGGGGAACTAGAGCAGATCTCGAAGATCGTATTCGGTAATTATTAATTTGACTATATTTCTTATCGCTATTATTTCTTAATGGTCTATTATCTATATAGAGATCGAGAAAAAACGCCAGCAAAAAACAGAATATTTGATTATGTTGTAAAGAAAAGTAAACCCAAAGCTTCTTTGCCATCTCCAATCTTGACTTCATTATCGTCGAAGCCTTTATCTTCATCATCCACATCAACAACACCATTGTCGTCGCCTTCTCCATCAAAAACCCTGTGTTCGTTGCAGGCAAAAAACCTTGAATATGATCTTGAGTCTGTTGAGAAATCTGTTGCTGATACTTTGTGTATGATGAAAGCTGCAAAGTAAATTTTCTTAATCTAAATTCGAATTTTTGTACTTGTCATCGTATTTTATATATCAAAATGTCTTTGTTTATTTAGAATACTTATTAGTATGAAAGCCTATGTAAGGGGGAGCAAATAAGTACGAAAGAATTTTTTATATTAATTTCTAATTTCTCTGGAGATTTTTTAATCTAATTTTACCTCTGATTTTATAATTTAGTGCTCGAATCGAATTGAGCAATCATCATTAGAAAAAGAAAAAGTAATTAAGCAATCTCTTATTTCAAAACATTTTTTCGTGTAAATTCATTCGTTGTTATATATGAATTATTGGGTTTAAACATTGTCTCTAAAAACTCTTCAACATATTTATTGGAATTTAAAATCTCTATATTCTAAACGCGCGTATTTTGCTTTGCAATGATATGAAATAAAAGTCTCGGAAATTTGTTGTTGATTTCAATGATTTAACAACTACGGAACGAAAAATCAACATTAAAATTTTGAGTTCAGCTAAACCAACTGTACACTGTTACCATTTTCAACAAAAATTTCGTAATTCCTTAATTTTTAAATTATTATAAATTATGGTGTATCATAATTTAATCCAACATCGATATTAATTTTCTCTTTTATTTTCACTTTGTATACCATTACACAACAATATTTAGTATAAATATCATTCCCGTTTAGGTCAAAAATTAAAAGTATCATCAACGAATCACATTCTTGTATACTTTCTACTTTATTTTCACTTTTATTTTCATCTTTATTTTCTCTTGTACTTTCCACTCAAAATTAATATTTTTGCTATTGGAACTTCTTATATTTTATTTCCAACAAAAATATTCTTAATTCTTATTTCATTATATTTATCCAATCAATTAATATTTATTTTATCGCATTTTCACTTTTATTTTTATATCATTATTATTTCCATTTTCTTTGTTAATTTTTCTTATAATTAATCTTGTATTATTATTTTTCTTTCTTTAGATCTTTTCTTTTTACTGCAATATTGATTTTTCTTATCTCTGATTATTAATCTTATAAATTTTCTCTTGTATTATTCTTTCTATTATTATATATAATGTTTTATTGATTTTTAAGTTTTTATTCTCCTTTAGTATTGTTTAGTATTATCTATAAATAGTGATATAATTCAGAATAATTATTAATCATGTAAATTGCAGAAATTATTGAAAATATTTAAAAAAAAGTTTCTTGTTGCTAGAAACTCTCATGCTCTAATCTAATAAAAATAACAAAGTTCTTATTTATAATATTATACTTGTAAATATACTATTATAATTATCTACAAGTAGTAAATGCTTCTCCACTTTAAATAAGCTATTTACTTTATTATTTTTAGTTTTATTATTTTTAGGTTGCAATAATATGTCCTGTTTATTCTATTTTATTTTCTTATTAACAGATTCAATAAGTCCAATTATTATTTTATTTCATTAGGCAATCTCAATAAGTTTTATTAGTTCTTTAATAGTTATACTAGTTTTATTTTAGTTTATTGTATTTTTTTTATTTAACTCTCCCACTTGTCTCTATTTGAATCTTTGATAATAAATTAGTTTGTATACAAGTTATTATAGAAAATCTTTAGAACTTTTAGTGAATCTCATTAATTGTAAATTATTATTCAGTCTTTATTCTTTAACTAATTGTTTATTTGTTAATTCATTAGTTTCAATAACTCTTGAATTAACGAAAAAAATATAAGTATATTCAATTGGAATCAAATTTAATCAAGATAAAAGAGAACATATATTGTTGCATCAATCCTTGACAAAAATCGATTGAAATCATTATTTATTATTTTAACATCAGACGATATTTTATATATGTACCAAATCAAAGCACTATCCATTCAAAAAATCATATCTCATTTAATATTGAGTAGTTGGTTATCCCATAATTTTATGAAGCAAATTAAAATAAAAATTATTTGAATTAAAGTGATTTTTCAAAACACAAATATGAGCAAGACTGAGTAATTTATGAGAAAAGATTCTTTTAACGTCCTAGGAATCTCCTATGGCAATTTGTATGCAAAATAAATCTTTAATGATGGGGTATAAAATAAAATATTCTTTTTAAAGAAAATGATAAATTCTTGTTTATTCAGCAATAAACAAAATAATTTAAAACAACAGGACTTATTGGCACGATCTGGACTAAGAAAACTCAATATTAAAATACAATAAACCAAAATATCAATTCAACAAAATCAATGGCTTATTTAGAGAGGAGGAACATCTACTACTGTAGAGCACTGCCTATAGTATTCTCCCTGTATAAACTTTGTTATTTAATTTAACCTCAAAGCAAATAATTTAATGATAAGAGTTTTGAAGAGTTACATTGGGACTCTTGGTTTATTCATTTTTGCAGAAAACAATTGTTTTATTTAAAAATTAAGCTTAAATTAAATGGTAAAATTTTTACAGTGAAGGGTACTAGACAGTGCTTGCTACTTTGCTCACAAGATTTGATGATGATCAGAATAATAAAATATAGTGTATTCACGAGTAATATTAGTATTACAAGTAAGAACTTGATTATTTATTCGATCAAAGCATGTTTTCTCAGAGACTTAAAAACACTTATATATACAGTTTCGAATTACTATACTAATTCTAAGGTTAGTATTTTACCTAAAAACAATTAAGTAATAATCGTTCGTGTCTTCCAATTGTCTAGATAATAATCAATATCGATCGTGCAATAACATTGAAGAAGATGGGAATGTTTATGACACAGGCAAAAAAAAAAGAAAAAAAGGTAATGTTCATTACATGTACATGTATTTTATTTGATAAATATAATTAAGATAATATCGATTCCTATTTTTACGAAATTTAGATGCTAGTTTAAAATATTTATTGAAATAAGTTCAAATTTTGTTAAACTTAATATTTATTTATTGGAAACAACGTTACGTTACTAGATTATACATACCTTTTTTTGTCAATGAATTGATCATAAAAATTGGAAGTAATTGTGAAAATAAACAACGTAACTTTAACAATTAGAACAAGAAATAATTATGTAGTAAAAATCCGAAACAACTAATTTTTTGAACTGTGCATCTAAAAGTATGTAACAGTTTAAGCTTACTACAATACTATAGAACCTGATATACGCAGTGTTTCGTGCAAGTATTGTTATCGTAACGGTAATGACATTAAATTCTTTAATTCCGCAATTTTCCATTCTTGATTTTTTTGCATGAATACCCTTTCCTAATTTCCCTTGATACGTATATATATGTAATCCCTACGTGATAATCCTTCCAAAGTTAGTTTCCTGTACAACTCGTAAGCTAAATTTCGAATCTCTGGAGAACAACAAATGTCTGGACAATTGAAAAGACATAATGCACGTAATTGAGAAAGATAAAGTGCGCGCGTAATGATCATGATGATTAGAAAAACATCAAACAGTTATTGTCTAATTATTTTTAGAAAGTTTCGAGAGAAACGATTAATGTAAAAATACTAACCTTAGAATTAGCGTCGTAGTAATTCAAAAGTACTGTATATATATAATTACTCTCGAATGTCCAAGAGGATATGCTTGATCAAAAGGAAATAAAAAAGTTCTCACTGTATACACTATTATTCTCTTGCACTGATCATCTTCAAATCTTGTGAGATAACAAGTAGTGGATGCTCCTCCACTTTAAATAAGCTGTCGATTTTGTTGAACTAGTATCTCATTTATTTTTATCCATTGTACAGACCATATCAATAAGCCCTGTCATTTTTAAAGATTATTGTGATAATTGCCAAATAACAATAGATAGGAGTTTATTAATCCACTATTGATTTTCTTTATAAGATTATTCCTTTATTTTTATTCTAATTGAGACGCTCCTATTATTAAAGTCAATTTGCACACAAATTGCCACAGGAGATCCTTAGAATGATAAGGAAAGTAAACCATTCAGTCTAACAAATTACGTTGTGAAAATCACTCGAGTTAATTAATTTTCTGTATGACGCAACATTTTGGTACTCCCTCTGTGGACTACAATTCGAAGAACCCGCTGCAAACAGGTTTATATCAACAACTACGTGCAATCACCATAACCGAACATATCTACTACCGTCCAATATGGAAAATGAAGTAAATGTGAATAACATGCTAAATGCAGTCCAACAACTTGCGCAAGCACTAATTAACCAAAATAATAGACCCGTCGAAAAAAACTAATAATAAACCCGTCGAAAAATAATCATACCTATTCAAAAATTCTAAGGTGATGATCAAGATTCGGTCGAATGGTTGAAGGAATTCGAAGTTGCGGTGCGGGCCAATGTAATCACTATCCAGCGTAAAAGCGTAAAATCCAGGTGATTCGAGGATATCTGAAAGGACCTGCGGCTATGTGATTTGAAGAACGAGCAAGGAACCATTATACCGAATTAACTGATTGGGAGAATAATAATCACGATGAACATGACTTCACTCACCAGTTCATCCAGAAATTTCAGACGCAGAAACAATAGCAGGATGAATTGGAAACACTACAACAAACTGGGACGTCGATGCGTACAATGACAGATTCATCAAGCTCCTGAGGAAAGTGGATCCGGAAAGTCAATATCCCAACACATACCGACAAGAACTTCAGCTGGAGATAAGAAAATGAGTCCAGGTAACGGCTGATAGAACGTTGATAAACATGGTGAAAGTGACAAGAAACGTTGAGAAAGCCGACTCCAAAAATCCAACTCATAATTATCATTGACTCAAGACAAGTTCATCTCACTCTAATGATGATATCATTGCAGTACTTCAGGCATTGACTCAAAGAATTGCAAACATGGGAACGGCCCAGCCATATCAAAGTAACCGTGATAATCAGAATTAAAGATGGAACCGGCCAAATTCCAATCGAAACCTAGTGTGTTATAATTGTGGAGAACAAGGACATATTAACCCCAATTGTGAAAGGCCAAGACAAAGTAATAATTACTGTAATAATGTAGGAGGAAACCA